TCGGAGTGCGAGACATTTTATATATTATTACTATTTAGTTTTTCTTTAGTTGTTTTTCCGTTACATTGGAGTATGACAGGTGAGGCTCTGCCTCCCCTGCCTCCCCTGACTGCACGTCGCTGATAAATATAGTATGATGGCTTGAACTAGTGGGAGACATGGCACTGTTTGTCTGTAGCCAATGCCTTGAACCTCGGCAAAAATGGCATTAGAAGCATTAGAAAGTCAAGGTAAACTTGCGGTTAACTTGCGGTCTGCAATGCGTGTCACGCTCACGCACACAAGTAAATATATATGCACGTTCCTTCTCACAACGCGTCAGACACAAGAAAATATACATTAAAGGGGACCTATCATGCAAAATGCACTTTGTGATGTCTTTTATACATAAATATGTGTCTCCGGTGCGTCGGGGAACTCACGCAGCGTCAGAAAATAAAACCCTCTCTTTTTTTCTCCGTACCAAAATCTTTTAAAAACAGGGGTACAACGAGCGGATACAGATTTGCTGCCGATCTGACATCAAATCGGCAGGGGACCCACAGAAAATTGCTATCAGAAACAATGCCTGACTTGTTTTGAACGTAATCTTGTCTTTGTTTACATTAGCAAGCCTCGATAACACTCAGACCTAACCTACTTGATGAGCACATTTGTTTTTAAAAAGCAGGAAATAAAAAAAGGAACTCACCTTGTGATAAACCCACAAGAGAAAAAGCATTTGAGATCCATACTGTTTCAGAAATAATCTTTGATGTGGTTTAGAACAGGATGGCGTTTTATCACAGCAGAATTTAACTTAATCTCCGGTAGAATTCTGATCAGGCATTAGCTCCGCCTCCTCTTATTTATTTATTTTCAAGCTAAGGACCCAAAATCCGCGTTTCTCTAACCGGGCTGAAAAAGAGGGGTATGAGCAGTATGAGGCATGGCTACAATGGGTGATCTGTTTGGTATTTTAAGCAAACAACTTTACAGACATGTTTTGTATAGGTATGGCCCTACAATGTATTTTTCCAATATAGCATAATAGGTCCACTTTCATTTACATCAGAATCCAATGTTTTTTTTTTGTTTTGTTTTTTATTTCTAATGTACGGAGACCCTAAAGGGACATGAAAAAAAAAAAAAAAAACAGAAAAAAAAAAGTCAGGATAACGGGTTAGTATCTCGTGCGCCAAGGAGGAAGTGAAGCGCACAGGACACAACCATTTCATTGCAGACTGTTATGTTTACGTGGGGAAATGACAGTGCATTATTTGAGATATATTTCGTACTCAGACTTCACTTTAAGGACATTTCGGCCAGGGGTGTGTGGTCACTCCAGGAGGCAGCGGGACGTGTAACTCAGAGAAGAGCAGCACCAGCGCTCAAAGAGCTTTTACGCACCGCCTACTCTGTGTTTACCTTCATTGAACAGCTATAAAGAGTGACCACAGGCTGTTACGTTTTAACCACACACACACCGAACTGCCCGATTACTCCCCCTTTTATTAGTTTTATGAAGGAGATCGCCGGTCATCAGGACGCATGATGGGCGGACTGGGACTAAAAAACAGCCCGGGAATCTCACCCTGCCCAGCCGACGTAAACTGTCAACGGG